GTTGGACTGGATGATCTTAGAGGCCTCTTCAGACCTTGATGATTTCCTCCCCATTTCCCCACAAAAGGCACCTAAATCTGCCACATGTAAAGTGAGTTGAAGTTCTGAAAATCTTCCCTCCTCCTTGCATATTCCAATTACATGGAGCACCAGCAACACTCATCTTGGAACAAAGCCTAAACCTGCTTGTTCTAGTACACAATCTTGTGAAACCTTTAACACTTACAGTACTTAAGCAAACAACCTCTCATTATTACCTTCTATTTTCCACACTTCCCACAATTTTAACTGATGCCTGGAACCAATACAATTTCTGTAAAGTGTTTCTTTTTGGGAGGGGAAAAAAATTACCATTGATTCCATGTATTATGGAAGAGCTGAACCTGTTTTGAAGGGAAATGGCCAAATTAGCTAAAAAAGACAACTGCAAACCACAAACATGATTTTGCTTAACAATAACCCCACTCCACCTTGGAACACTGCTTCTAAGGTGTAATTCCTAAGTGAGTTCCCCAATGGAATGTGCCAGTGAGGAAGCTGGGAGTCACTTCATACCTTGACAGGGACCACTGCTGTCTGCACCATGTTCCGGAACCTCCCCACAGACGGGTCCACGTCCTCTGCAAGCAAACAGGGAGGCCTTCAGTGAGATGGGGAACAGCCTCTGTGGGGTGAGGGACCCACATGGAGAATGAGAACACTTGTCCTCCTAAAGCTCCAGCAGCTCCCAGTAAGCACAAGTGTGACCAGAGAGAGAGGGGCTCAGGTGACACCCAGTGGCTTTGTGTCCAGGTGGCTCATCAGGTATCCTGGTAAGGAAGGCTTTCCCTCAGATGGAGAATGGGAAGGGGAGCAGCTGGATGGGCAGCCTGGGCTCACCAGGCTGGAGTCCGGGCTGAAAGCTGCTGCTGACAAGGCACTGCAGCCAGGCCCAGGGGCCCCTGAAGGAGGAGCCAGAAGCAGTCAATGGAGAGACCCTGAAAGCCTGGAAAACTGCTCTTTCTGTAATGCAAATGACTAGTGTTTGCATTAGAATGTTCTGAGCCCTCAACTTCATCCCCTCATAAGCCAAAATGGTCACCCTGTGTGCTCTACACTGCCAGACTGAACCACCCTGTATTCCAATGTGCATGCTCATTAATTAGCTGCTCCTATTAACAGGAATACTATCCATACAAAATATCACTGGTAGGAATGCCATTAGTACCAAACAGACCAAGAAAAGCCTAATTTGGAACTGCATACATCTTCAGACACATCAGTTTGAATGAGGACTGAGGGTGACCTGGTTCAGACATGCAGACAAGTAGCAAATCCCTCTGAGGTTGAAGCAGATATGCAGGAGACAACAGGTAAGGAAGGCATTAAGGACCTGATAAAAAGCAATCAAGTTCCATTCCCATTTAGATTCTAAAGAAGGCAATAAATGTAAAGTACTCTGCTCCTTTTGGAGCCATGACATGTTCCCAACACCTAACAGAACACTGAGCAGTGAAGCTGAGTGTGACACTCCTGTCCTGCACACACACCACGAGTGTACTGCACAGGTACATCAGAAGAAACAGAGAAGTCAAAGTCCTCAGTGAGACATGTGGCAGCTTCTCTGAGTTAGCAGATCCCAAATACTGGCTGCCAAATTTTTGTTCTCCTTATCCAGGAGGAATCCCTATGAGAATACTGGAAGGATGGCCTGAAGGGATTAAAGGAAACTCCTTACCCGGATTAATGATCTCATCGTCATCACTGAATGTCACCCTGGAGTTCTTCCGTTTTCTCTTTGGCCTCTGGATGTCCAAGTTCCCTTCCTCAATGGTCAGGGTGGAAATCCTTTTGTTGTGGGCAGTATTGAACTCTGTCAGGTTCTAATGGCAAATTGAGAGATGAAAGAGTTTAAGCAACCAGTGTCTTAAGTCTGATTTTAGTCAGGTGACTGTGCACATGAGAAGACCACAGAAGCTGTTTAGTTTCAGCTTTAGCCCTCGAGGAAGCAGCAGAGCTCCAGGGCTGCAAGGAGCTGCCCTGAGAGGCTGAGGGGTCTCTGCAAAGGTAGAAACCCTTCAGACTGCTCCAGCTGACCCTGCCTGAGCAGGCTGACAATCCTGTGAGGTGCCTCCCAACATCCACAATCCTGTGACTGCCACGCACACTTCTCCCTCTTCACTAGCCAACTTAGGGAACAGGGAGGCAATGGGGACAGCATGGGAAACCAGCCCTGGCCTGGGCAATGTTAGCTGGAGAGCACATTCTCCCTGCAAACCTTGGTGAGATAACCACTGGCATACTAAGATCATCAGGTTCCTGATTCTGGGAAGCAGCATTATCACAGGCTTGTCAGGGCAGAAGGGGATGATCTGGGTGTAACTACCAGCAGAAGACACCTCAGACTATCTTCAAGGCCAAGAAATGAAGGAATCTGAAGCTAAGGTAGTATTACCCAGGGAAATAGTTCAGTCACCACCCCTGGAGGCATTTAAAGGACATGCAGACTTAAGGCCACGGTTTAGAGGTGAGCTTGGCAGTGTTAGATATAAGGTTGGACTTGATGGTCTTAAGGGTCTTTTCCAACCTGAATAATTCCATGATTCTAAACAAACAGGGAATGCTCTCCATCCACATGGAAATGCCATCGAGGCAGAGTGTGCCATCGTACTCACATCCAGCTCTGTCTCCTCCTCTGGCAGCCCCAGCAAGCCCTTGAGCTCCTCATCCTCACCCCCCATCTTCTCATCCCCTTTCACCGCCGAGGGCAGCGTCTGTGGCTTCTCGCGCAGGGTGTAGGCGCGGGTGGAGGCTCCGAAGGACACCGTGGAGTCGATGGGGATCTGCTGGGGCTTGTGAGCTTCCAGACGGATGTGACCCAAGAATGTGCCATGTGCTGAGAACACCAAAGTGCAAAATAGTCTGTTAGTCACCAGCTTGGCCTCACAGAATTCCAGTTCAGAAACTGCAAGAGCTGCTCCGAGGGACAAGGCACTGAGGTACTGCTGAAAGCATTAGCTATGTGCATTTTACCCACCATCTCACATCCAGAGTCCTCAAAAAGTCATGGAAATAAACTACCAACAGCCTTTGCTTTCTGTATTCTTGCAGGTCCCAATGTACCATGTCTGGAATCATTTCCTCAGTGGAAAAAACAGTGTGACAGGTTTTAGGCCTTATGAAAGCACCTTCAGAAGAGGAGGCTTCACTGGAACTGGGAAGGGAAGGCCAAGTCACTTTCCTCCTCTCTTTCAGCCTCTTAAGAGCCTAGAAATGCTTTAAACACCCAGTGAGTCAGCTGTAAGCTGACTGGAGCAAACACTCCCTCGCTCAAACCTTGCCCATGTCTCCCTAGGACACGAATTCCATCTGTCCACACAGTGCAAACAACAACAATGGAAAAGGAAAAGGTGTCTCAGACTCAGAGTGTTTAAGCACTTCTGGCTGGTTAAATGCCACACTACTTACTGCTGTTCAGATCTATGAGGAAAACCCTCTTGAGATGTTTGTGATAGACCAAGGCAGCATGGACCCGAGAGCAAGACTGGTGGTCAATGGTAAAATCGCACAGATCAGGATTTCTCCCAAACAGATAGTACTTCTTCTCATCAATGATGAGTTTCTGAGGTAGAATGTCAAACAGAGAAGCATATTAGACTCCTAGAATCTCTTGGATCTTCCTGAAAAAATTCAAGAACATGAATAAACAGAGCAAATTCAAAACAAAGCATCAACAGCTCATCAATATTTCAGGTCAGTCTGGCACTGTGAGTCACAGCAAAATCTGCTCTCTGCAAAATCAGAACAGCTGAATAGGGAAGAGTCCCAGTTATTCCCTTCTTTCCCAGCCAACACAAGACAGCCTGGGAAGGACAGGCACTGTTCAAGGTCTGACACTGCCTCACACAGGAGATTCTCTCTCACATCTGCTCCCAAGGATTTCAAACATTCCCCAACAGATGACCTCAGGCCTTGTCTAAGACAGGGACCTTAGTGATCTCAAGTCTGATACACAACATCAAAGTTATATTTCTGTACAGAAATGGACCTACAAGAGGTTTCAAACCTTTAGTATAAAGATGCAAAACTACACTGAGAACGTGCTGTGACAGGAATCTGTATTAGTCTATCAAGTACACCATTAATTTTAGGCATTTCTTCTTTATTCATCCTACTTCTAATCTCTTCTTCAAACAAGATGTTACATACTGTAAGATCAGGTACATAAACCATCGCTGTAAAGCAAAGGGCCATGCTGACAAAGTCCTACAGCACACAGGGTGCATTTCTGTTACCAGCCCATGGTGTTGAGGATCTCCTGTCACTGAATGCTGCAGGTGAGCAGGGCAGGTGCTCAACCTTCCCACTGCATTCCAGGAGCCTCATCTGCCCTGTGTGTTCCTGCTCCAGCTGCACGAGGCAGAGGCTGGCAGTGCATTGCACAGCTGTTAACAGGCTCCTCCTGCTTTTTGAAACATCTCCCAAAGCCCACATGTTTCAACTGCATCACTGAGGGAATGCTGAGGCCACATTTTCCATCAGGCATCCCAGATCTTAGTCTGGGAGGGCATTGCTTCCATGAGGTGGTCTGAGCTGAGCTAGCATTCTGCTTGCTTGAGCATGTGGATTTCTCCCCCCCTCCTTGCTTTTCCAGCTACTCAGTCCTCTCCCCAATCCCAATGCCACACATCTGAGCCAAGTTTTCAGCTTGCAAAGCCCTTTTTTCCTGCACTAATCTTCCCCAGTCTGCGTAGACTGGATCAGTTTCCTTCACTCAGACACGCTCCAGCTGCTCAGGGAAGCAATGGATTACAGCACCAGGTGAGTGATGCCCAGGATCTCCCTTTCTGGCATCAGCATTCCAGCCAAGCAGGGCTTTGCTCCTCAGCTTTGCCACACTCTCAGCCAGAACGAGCCAAGTGATCTGAGCAGGTACAGGGACTGGTTTGGGGTCTCTGAGCTGTCACAGACACAAGGAGCACCAGTCACTCCCTCCGTGCCACCACCAACCATACAGAAAATAATGAGACAGCCTGGACTAAGACACAGTATTTATACTCTTCTGCCTTATCTGCAAGCACAAAAATCCCACAGACCTCAACTTCCACTACAGACCACCTTGCAAAATCACAACTATTTACCACCAACTATGAACTTCAAGGTTTCAGCACTGCCACAGGCATGTGGCACTTCCCCACTGTTTTTTTTCTGATTCCCCCACAGATGTGCTCTACATTTCCCAGGTTGGATTTTCCAGTGTTCTGCTGAACATCTGCTAGTCCCCATGCTGCAATCTCTCATCATCTGGTGTCCAGTAAGAAGCATTTGTTCCTGTATGTTTATTGACTCTTTCAGGTCACTAGCATAGCTAACTGAACAACCTGATTCCACACTTGTATCCATCATGATGGCTTTACAATTAACTGGTCCCCTAGGTAATAACCTGTGAATGCTTCATTCCCCAGCGACTCAGGGAATACAATTTAAGCACCAGTTCATGACAGTGGATGCTTTGTGAAATCTACTGCCTCACCTATTTCATAGTTTCATGGTTTCATAGTATGTGAAGGTGTTGCCACTGCCTCACCTATTTCATAGTTTCATAGTATGTGAAGGTGTTGGAATGGAGCTCATAGATCATCCAGCCCCAAGTCCCTGCCCTTGGACAGGGACACCTCCCACCAGAGCAGGTTGCTCAAGGCTTTAGCCAACCTGGCTGTGAACACTGCCAGGGTTGGGGCAGCCACAGCCTCCCTGGGCAACCTGTGCCAATGTCTCACCACCCTCACAGCAAAAACTCCTGCCTAAGATTTCATCTCAATTTCCCTCTTTCAATTCATCCCCATTCCTCCTTGTCCTGTCCCTGCAGTTCCTAACCAAGAGTCCTTCTCCTTATTTTGTCCTGCCTTCTTCAAACAACACCATTTAGTTGATCAAGGTGTATCTATCACCTCCTAACACCCACTACTAAAACAGATAACCTCTTAACCTCTGGCCAATTCCAACCAGCACTACAAGAGCTCTGTGAAACCAAACAGCTACACAGAAAGACAACCCACCTGTCCCTCAGTGATACACAGTCTGGCAGCAAACCCACCAGAGTGCCAATACTTAGACTTCAGCCACACAAAAGAATGACCGTTGTGAGTCCACACCTTATTTGACAAAGCCAACAATCACAGCTAATTGGCAATTCACCTACAAGTACACTGTGATAAATGAGGCACAAATGCCAAAGGCATTTTTTCCTTCAGCTGGGCCATATAGAACCTGCAGCTGTGTCCCCTGACCCATCTGTGTCTGCAGGGGAACAGCACACCTTGGAGCCTCAGTATATTCAGATTAAAAACACAAAAAATGCACATGCTGAAACAGCCTGTTGGGTTCTGCTCTCACCAGGCACTTCACCCCTGCTCTGGGTCTCTCTGCAAAGCTGCTCTTCACAACACCCCTCAGAGCTCACCAGCAACTATAAGCCACTGCTAAAAGGCCTAAACTAGCACTTGGTCTCCTCAGCACTTTCTGGTCAAATTTTACTTCACCTTTTTTTTTTTTTAATTATTCCACTTGTCAACAGATCCCTCCGTCTCCTGCCTGCAGGTTTTCCATGTTAGTGTCCCTTTGAGTAGCTTCTCCCTGCAATCCTTAACTAGCAGCCATCATTCCAGGAGTCTTACTGACACTTTCCCTTAAGATCAGAGTTGTTTCATGCAGCTACTGCACCAAGAACAGCACAGCTGTTTGTTACAACATCTCTCTTGAGGAACCCTGGTTAGGTTTTCTGGGCAATCCACTTCCCAGGGACAGATTTTCATCCCATATTCTGCAGCTCCTCACTCATTCAGCTCAGCACTGTGACTCTTCCCATGCAAACACCTTTGCACTAATGAATTCTATGATTCCACTTTGTGAGAAAGACAAGCACTAAGTTCACCTTTTATAAGGAACTTGGAAGAAAGTCCTGTGTAAACACAGCTCTGATAAAAACAAGTGGATCTTTGGAAGCTGATTGATTCCTCCCCAAATCAGTGCTCAGCTCTGCAAGCAGTTAGTTATGTCATGATTTCAAGAACCATTAAAACTGGTCAAACAATTCCTCATTCTTGTCCACAACTGAAACCAAATGTGTCCTGGAAGTGTTCACTTACACCTGTTACATACACAGCTCTGCTCTGACTGAACAAAGTCAAGAGATTCTGCAAAGACACAAATTCATGAACTGGAAATATTGCAACAAATCATGATCACAGAAACTAACTTAATGCCCTTTACTTCAAGATAAGGTTTCCAGTGTGTTCTGTGCCTCTGAGTTATAACCCAGTGTGTTCCTTCACACACTGAGCTTAAACACTGCATGGCTTGTTTTGCTGTGGCACTTTGCAGACCCAGCGATCACAGGGTGTCCCCAGGCTGGGGACACCGATGGCTCGGTTAGTATCAAGTGCTCAGGGACCCACAGGGTTTAACCAGGTTCTCCCCTGGTTACTGCTGGCTGCCACAACAGACAGCACTGGAAAACTCTTTGCCATGTGTACCAAACCAGGAATGAACACACACAAGTGCTGTTCATTTGCTGCAGTTGGAACAGACTAGAGGGCTAAAGCCATCACCTACACACAGTGCAAGGCCACAGAGCAGCCAGACAAGCAGCTGTGGTCAGGCACTGGAATACTGCCCAGGGAGGTGGTAGAGTCACCAGCCCTGGAAGTGGTTAAGGGGCATCTGGATCTGGTGCTGAAAGACATGGTTTGGGGTTTAGGGGTTACAGCAGTGACAGGTTAAGGGTTGGACTTGATGGTCTTACAGGTCTCGTCCAACTTTAATGGTTCTATGATTCCCATGTTGCCCTCAAGGGTGACATCCAGCCAGGATCTGAGTGGCACACACAGGCCCTGTGCCACCCCTGCCTCAGAGCTCAGCACACTATGCACATGGAAGGGCAGGGGAACTGTGCCTCAGGGAGCTCAGGATCAGCCAGCCAACACCAGAAGTGAAACACCAACACCACAGGCATTCCATAACCTCTGTGTGATCCCATCCTCCACTGAAACCCGGAGCACCTGGATAGCAGAGTGGCAGTGGCTGCACAGAGTGCAAAGAGAACCTCTTCAGGTTATCCAGAGTTGATGGCAGGAAGAGGGAACTGGGATGCTTGTAGCACCCCCATTCCCAAAGCAGACAGAGACCTCAGGCTCACAGAGCCACCTTGGGCCTCCTGGAGCTCCCAACAGCTGTGGGCAGCATAGCCCCAGAGTCTGACACCACCAGGACAACATTCCTGACTGGCAATTGATAAATTTTCTCATCCATTGCCACAGCCAGTGGTGCATCCTCAGGTTTGACGTGGCATTTCACTTCTTTTCTCTCAGTGCTGACCAGGACTCCCACGATGGAACATCCTCCTGGCACCTGAGGAGCAATTCAGCAGTGAACTCCATGTGGACTCTTCATCCTGCAGCTCTGTCCACGTTCAAAAATCCAAGACATGCCATGACAAACCTCAGAGAATCAATCCCCCAGGTGGGAAGGCTGCACGGTGTTTGGCCACCTGCCACATACAATAAACCCCAAAGTCACTGCCATGTGGCTTTGCTCCCTGAATCTCATCCATGGCCTGGAAAACTCAGTGCCAAGCACAGTCCCTGCCCCACGGGCTGCAGCCAGCATGGCAGTGAGAAGGCTGTGCTCAGAAACAGCCCTGCTGCAGCCCTCTGAGCTCTGAACACCATTCCAAACACGTAGCAGTGGCAGGAGAGGCAGAACACACAGCCCATGGCCTGCAGACAAACACAATGCACAGGGTTTGAGGCACAGGGAAGTGCTGGTGCAGCACAGCACTGAGGGAGCCTGAACAGTGGGGATGAACCAGCTCAGTCATGTCTTGTATGAACTAAGAAGCTGCTCTGGAGGTGCAGTACATGCATGTCAATATCTAATTCCTTTCCAATTAAGCTGAGCAAAGATCTCTTTCAGGTCCAGACTGGCTTTGCCAATTTTCTGCCTGTAAATGCAGAGGAAGAGCTCTCTCAAGACAGCAATAAAGAAAAGGCTCATTTTACTCGTTTCTGAGCTGAGAAAACACAAGTTTATTTGTGAGACACCTATTTGTGACATCTCTATCTGCTTTCCTATACAAAGCATATTCTGGTAACTTCACCAAATTCCGAACAGTAAATCTCTCCTGCTAGACACCAGGAGGAACACTTAATACTGCCCAATGCTTCTGTGGTCACTTACACTAAATACCAGCCAAGATTTTAAGCTGCTAAGTCTTGATCTAACACTGATTTCTTAATTTTCCATATTTCCATTCAGAAAAATTGGCTCAGCTTTGCTGCCAAGAAACATTTCTGTTCCAGTCAGCTGCAAGTTAGGAGTTTCTGCACAGCTCAAATACATTCACTGCATTGGGTCCTCTCTGCTAACCATGCTAAGGAGACTTTATGAATTCCTTTCAGTGTGGTACAAGATAAAACGTGACACAGAATGAGGTGCTGCATACCAGACAAATTCCTCTGCTGTAATAAAAATAACTCATTGGATCTGTGCTGATCACAACACTGTTCACAGATCCTGAGTGTGGGAGGAAAAAGCAAACTGTATTTCCTCCTGTAGGATCCAGGGTGCCTGGTTAACCTTACTGCGACAACAATAAACTGACCACACAGGTGGATAGAACAAGCTGTACAAGGGAAGAGCTTTTATTCTTACTCTCTTGTATTTGAAATTTCTTTGCCCACATCACTCACATCCTGCTCCTAAAGTTCCCAAGACAAAGTGTCTGCTGCTGAGTCTGATACCTCCTATGTAGGTATCTTGTAGGGAACAAAATCTCAACTTTGATCCAGAACGAAGTTTGGAAAAAAATAAGGCTCTGCAAATACCAACTCTTCCTTACAAGCATCTTATTTCTTCTCTTACTAGGGCAGGGTTGGTGTCCAGGAGTCCAAGTGTCACTGTGCTGCCCTTCAAACAGTGCAGCTCATGGGAGGTAACGGATGGAGGCCTGGCAAGGCATGAGGCTGCCTTAAAGCACAGCAAGGAAAATGTCACTTCATTCTCAAGTTTCAGAGCAAACCAAACTGATTTGAAAATAATGAATGTGAGAGAGAAAGGAAATACTTATGAATAAGCATGGAAAATGCTAGGAAATGTTCTCCTGCTGTGCTATGTGCACCATACACCAAATACAGCAAAGCCTGATTCCATACCTCAATGAGTTTGTCTCCTTTGACTACATCCAGGTGTAAGCCAGGTGGTGGTTTCCCTGCCCTGGAAAAGAAAGAAAGGAAAATAGAATATCAAAACACTGACTAAAAAGTTTATTAGTGTTAAACTTCTATTCAAGCTACAGGCCAAGCCTACACAAATGTAAGCAGAATTGCTTTTGGGAATACATGAAAACTCCCTAATTTGCTTTTCCTGCCTTCAGATTCCTACTGACAACACATAAACCATGATTTTTACAGCAAGAGTGAGGCTAACAGGACATGAGGCATCTCAAGCTTTACCTTTCCAGGTGAAAACCAGCTGATTTACACAATAAACAGAGCAGCTCCTGAGAGAATATGGCATGAGGAGAATAACAAGAGGGACTGGGACAGGCTGGGACTGTTTGTTCAGGGGCTCTATGTTCTCATGATAACAGCAGAGCTCTACACTTGGCTGCTGAGAGGAACAGAAACTTCTACCACCTATCCCCTCTAGGACTGGCAATGGCAAACCCCTGAAGGGGATACACACACCCTTGGAATATTACAGCAGTGTAATATTACATACTCCCCCTAGTCACATCTTCCTGCCAGCACAGGTAACACAGAGGAGACTACAGTTCTAGGTGGCAGAGGGGCTCTGTCCCAGGGCAGCACAATCCTCCTGCCCCACATTCCCATCTATTCACCTGTCAGCCAGTTATTCCCCCCTGGGCAAAGGGAGCACAGAGACCCATGGGCACAGCAAACACCACTGACACATGGGTGAACCTACAGGATTAGCAGCATCTCAAGCATATTCAGAGAGCTCAAAGCCAGGACACTGCTGTGGTACCAGACCCTGCTCTGCACCACACAGGGTCTTTGGCTGTTGGCAGCAAAGGACCTTTTCCAGCTCAGATCTCTCAAAATCTGCATCTCTAGTGCTTCCTCACAGATAACAGCACTGCTGCTTGCCTCTAAGGCTGGAACAGCTTTCTAGACAGCAGCAGTGACCCAGTTCTCAGCCACACCACTGTCCTTCTGGGGAACACCACAGAGATCACATTCCCACTCCAGCTTTGCTCACAGCACAGAGCCCAGGGAGCAGTGACAATGGGCAGTGATGTCAGTGTGACAGGAGAAGAAAGAAAGGTTACTGAGAACTGAAGTTGCTTGAGGGGGCTAAATATAGATGTTCACATTTCTAGGATGTGCCTTACAATTCAAAGGTTTCTTCTGTGTCGCCAGGTCAACCTGGCTGTGAACACTGCCAGGGTTGGGGCAGCCACAGCCTCCCTGGGCAACCTGTGCCAGTGTCTCACCACCCTCACAGGGAAAATTTCTGCCTAAGATCTAATTTAAATCTCCCTCTTTCAATGTCTCCCCATTCCTTCTTGTCCTGTCCCTGCAGTTCCTAACACAGAATCCTTAATATACCCTAATGAGTATATGGTTGATATTGATTCTTATTGTTTTGGATGAACAAACAGCAGCAGCAAAACCAGAGGATGAAAATGTCAGGGCAGTCAAGTGGTGACTGCTCCTAGGAATGGGATTATGGTGGTGTGGGGGACAGAGCAACAGGAAGAAGTGCTCCCAAAGGTGGCATCAGTTTGTGTGATGAGGTGGTGGAGGACAGACCCTTGCAGCCCCTCCAGCACAGCCAGGCTACCCCTGAGCACTACCATGTCTGCCTGTGCTCCTGCAGGTCTCAGTACTTGTGTTCACTGAAACATGATCCAGTCATGGATTCATGTCCACGTCTCAGTATTCCCTCAGGCCCTGAGCACTGGAAAACTCTTCTTTCTCCATTCCTCTGAAATTGCCAAGCTCTGGTTACTCTGCCGCACCACTTTTGAGAGTTTTCACACTCTGGTCAAACAACAGCTACTTGGCAGCTTTTTTTCCCTTCCAAATAGATAAACCTTTCCACAAATTCATTCTACAAGCAAGCCTACTTCTTCCTCAGTCTGGCCTCTACTTTTCCTCTCAGTGGTCTCTCCCAGGAGATTCAATGCTCAGCCTGTGCTAACGAACTTCAGCAACATCCTCACTGTGCCTGTCAGGTCACAGAGAGCTCTCAAGTGCTCTGGGAGAACCACTTTCCTCTTCTGTAAACTGAGCCCTGTCTGACGGTCACCTTCTGCCACACACCAGCTCAGATTTTTCATTGCCTCCTCTTTTAGTTTCACCCTTGCTGTTATGTTTACTCTGCCTTTACCTTCAACTTTGTTTTGAACACAGCAAATGAGCCCAGCACAAGGTAATGCCCTAGGCCATAAATTAAAGTACTTGAAAAATGGACCTATTCTCTGACTTCTTTTGGGGTGAGAATCCTTTGTAGGCAGTATTTCCCCTATCTACCTATTCCTGTAAACACTGCACACAAGAAGGCTGCAAATGCTGATTATGGTACCATGAAAACAAACTCTCAGAAGTAATTTCTGGTAGAAACCCCCTTTGGACCAGATACACCAATGCCACAGCTCAGACTGCCAAAGTCAGATACTTGAAAAGCCTTTTAATGAAAAAAATGTTAAGATTTTCCAGTTTCATATTCAGAACTAATTAGTTCCAGAGACAGCAAAGACCAGAAGCAATGGCTAGATTTGGAAGTATCAGCCACCCCTCACACACTCTGCCCCGTCAGACCTCTCACCTCATGGGCCAAGGGGGAAAACATGAAAGGAAATCTCCAAAAATCTGCTAGAAAACAGTTTGTTAGCAAGCTGGCCCTGAGCATGTTTTCCCCTCCAATTTCCAATACTGAAAGCAAAGAGTCCTCTCCCATTAACTAATGAGCTAAAATATCCACTAAGCTAATTTGCCTACAGTGTTCTGAAGAATGAAGAATTGCTTGAGGTCAGCACTGTCCCCTCCACAGCACACACAGGGACAGCCCTTAGCACTGCCCTGAGACAGGCTGTGCAGCCTGGGGAAGAGATCTCAGAACAACCTGCCAGGAGCTGAAGAGGCTCCAGGGAAGCTGCAGAGAGACTCCTGGTTAGGAACTGCAGGGACAGGACAAGGAGCAATGGGGAGAAATTGAAAGAGGGAAATTGAGATTAGTTATCAGGCAGAAGTTTTCCCTGTGAGGGTGGTGAGACACTGGCACAGGTTGCCCAGGGAGGCTGTGGCTGCCCCAACCCTGGCAGTGTTCACAGCCAGGTTGGCTCAAGCATTGAGCAACCTGCTCTGGTGGGAGGTGTCCCTGCCCAGGGCAGGGGGTTGGCACACGATCTCTCAGCTCCATTCCAACTCTTTAACATACTATGAGTCTATAAGACCAAAGCTCTCCCATCAGAACTTGGCTGCAGCACAAGTGCTTGTGTTTGAGACTGAGAACCAACTGCTGCTCTGTACCTCTGTGCACCACAGTCCCCAGTGCTGGACATCTGCCTGCACAGGGCAACATCCTGCACAGGACCTGAGAGTAATGTCTCTGAACAGATGGACTGGGATGGTCACTAGCTGAGAGTTTAACTGCGGCACAGCTCACACTGTATCCATCAAAGCTTCCTGGGACAGGTGAAGCCTTCCAGAGAGTTAACACAGCTCACTGGCAAGGAGAACATGACCATTACAGTATCACTAAAGGAATTCTCTGGATTGGAGAACAGGTGAGAGAATATCTTCTGCACTAACAACGAGTCCAAGGAACTTGAAGTGTTGGAAAGTTCCTAACAACTGGTAAAAGGGCAAAGCCCTTACAGCATTCAGCCAGGCACTCAGAGAACTCAAACACCAGTTTTCTATACTTAGCAGGTCAGCAACCCATTGCTTACAGCACCAGTCCTGTCAGAAATGCAGCTACCAACTGATGCTGCTGATTTAAAAATCTATTTCCGGAGTGACCTGGAAACTACAAACAGCAAAGTTAAGTTCTCACCGGGAAACTGGTGGAATAAGAACATTTCAGTTGGAAGGGACCTACAAGGA